TGCTAAAGTAAGGAAACTTTGCTTCCTTTGCTCCTATAAACAAACTCGCGAGACTAGCATATCTCAGAGGTGCACGCGCTGCGCATATGTCATACACCTTCCGCCGGAACGCCTTTCGCGTACTAGTAATATGCATTGCTAAGGACTTAATTTGGACAACTTTAATGGCGATTTTCTCAATATTTAGATTTTTTTGCACCCTCAGATTCCAGATTTTCAAACAGTTAACAAACTATCCTAACAAACCATACATCAATGGAAAGCTTATTTATTTATATGCTTTCAGATGATGTATAAATCTCAATTTAAAAAAATTGACCCATATGACTAGTTTTGATGTCTAGGATCACATTTGTTCTCATTCATGTCCTTCAAACCAGTATGACTGACTTTCTTCTGTGGAAAATACAGGAAGATATTGAGAAAAATCGCTGCTTCTTTTTTCAATGGAAGCCAATGGACTCCAATATTGTTTGGTTTCCAGCATTCTGCAAAATATCTTCTGTTGTGTTGCACAGAAGAAAGGTTTAGAACAACATGAGGGTGCGTAAACAGTAACTGTCCCTTTAACCGTAGCCTTAAAGGGTTAGTTCACCCAAAAATGAAAATTAGACTGTGTTTTACTTACCCTCGAAGCATCCTAGGTGAATATGAACACAAGCTAATTTTCATTTTTGGGTGAACTAACCCTTTAAAGAGCCTCAGCTCTTACCACTCGTAATCTTTTTATTTATAGTGCTATGAAAAGGGGAAAGGGAATTACTAGGGAGAGAAAGCGATCAGGACATCACAGTTTGGGCTCATATCTATGATACCCATATGAGTACCACAATGTTTCAGTAGGTTTGACTGACGCTTTATGTCTATCTTTAATATAGGCTTACTGATACTCTGTGGCGGCTCAGCCAGGCTGTGTTCCACATGGTTAGCTTGGAATCTGAGATCCGAATGCAGCTTCATTGATTCACACACACCCTGCGGTGGTTACATGTGCAGATGTGTGGAACTGCTGAGTTGGCTGTTTAATAATCAGGCTTACACTATAGTCTCATATCTCAGGAGCTGCCAATAAGCAGACGCAATTTAACTGAAACTGGATGCAGTGCCTGCTAGCTATTTCACCACGTTGCATGTGCAATAAATGTCATTAAGATTTACAAACATGATCAAATTACACATTTACTTTGGAAAGAGGTTGTTTCCTCTGGCAGCGTTAGGGAGATTTAGAGAAACTGCTGCCTGTGTTGCCTGGGTGGCTTGTGTGTTTTGCAGTGCCAGTCAGGTGTTTAATACAGAGTGTTATGGCTCAAATTATGGTTGTGGGAAAGTGACTTTTAGTTGAATGCTAAGTATGATGTAATGCGTATCATGCAAACTTGACTATTAAAGCCCTGCATATCCTCGCTCTTTTTCTGCGTGCATGTGAAGGCATCCTGATGCAGTTCTTTCTGCCTGATCCTTATCATTTTAATGAGCTTGAGCTCTCGCTGCATACACAGGGGTGTAGCTGTGTGTGTGGGTCCCTGATTGCTCAGTGATTATACCTACATGCACTCAAATAGTGTGTCCTCTAGAGCTGCACGATTAATCGTTAAAAGATCGCGATCTCGATTCAGACAACCACACGATCTCATTTCTAAATGACAACGATTCTCCCGTGTCTATTAAACCTTTGAAAAAGTCTTACCGGATCATTCAAATCTGCGTTCGCACTGCCACTGACACAGAGAGAGCAGTTACCATGTTTGGTTACGAAACAGCTTCACAAACAGTCTTTTCAACTACACAGTATTATTTCTGTCATACAGTCATTCATATTATCACAGAAATACTGGGATGAAAGTTTATAATTCAGATATAAACATTGATGTCTATGGTAGCGCGACCAAAATAGAGCAAATCCGCGTTTGAAAGTAACTGCCACATAACGTTTGTGTCGATTGCATTGTTTCGCAATGTATTTAAAAAATGTATAATTGAATGAATCATTGATTCAAGAGAATCGTTCAAAAACGCTGATTCATCCAGTAGGTTTATGAGTGAGTCGTTGAATCATTGATTCAAACAACTTTTTCATAATTTTAATATTAAATTGAAGTATTAAATATATTATATTTTAAATACATATACACTACCAGTCAAAATTTTTTGAACCGTAAGATTTTTAATGAGAAAAATCGTGATTCACATTTGAGCAAGAATCGTGCAGCCCTAGTGTCCTCCCAATCCCACTTCTGCTGACAAGCCAACAGCTTGCTCTCGCTCCCTCTTCACATTCAGTAAGAGAGGCTCTCGCTCTAGAATACCATCAGTGTCTCCAAGCTGTTCCCAAGAAAAATGGGCAACTTGTTGGGCCCAGCACAGAAAAAAGGCCTCGCTGAATGATTTAGACATTTTAATAAGGGTGTAAAGTCCTTGAGTAATTGTACATTACTGTACCAAAGTATTTTTTCCTGGCTTGAGTAATACTGAATCTGGATACGTGAACATTTCCAGTGAAAATTGGCAGGAGGCCACAGAGGCTTTATTTATTCCTTTAGATCTTTCAATCTAATAAAAAAAAAGCTTAAGTTGATGAAATAAACAGTATATGTATTAATGTAATGTAATTGGCCCCAACTATGTTCCTTTGTCCTTGGGAAGTGGCATCATATCACAGTTGTTAACCTACAGCTGAAGATATATGAACTTGAATGGAATTTCAGCAGTCAACAATCAGTCTATAAACAACTTTATTAAAATGTCAAACAACTGTGAAACAGTTTTTGTATTATTCATATACTATTACAGAATTTACTAATATTTTTAATTTATTTTTAATTACTTAAGTTTAATGCTTTGTCTAATATTTATATTTTATTTTATTTCAGCTTCAGTTACTAAAAAATAAATCTGTGTAGTTTTATTTAATAATAACTGTTAAATCGGTCTCAGATAATTGCAGGATACTGGTTTCAGTTTTAATATCTGATGTATACTGGATGATTACATAGTCAGGTAACTGAAATTAAACAGATTGATTTACAATTTTGTGCATCAAAGCTACTGCAATGATAATCTAGCCTTTATCTCTTGATTTCATATGCTTATATGGAATATTATTCTACAGACAGATATTTTAAAAATTTATTTTGTGAAAATAGTGAAATAATGAACAACTTCTTATTTTTAAATACTATTTTTAAATACTATATTATATTTAACATATTTACTGTATTTACTAGAGCAGAAGTTTAAGTATAGAATTGCAGAGAAAATTATTTTATATTATTATTATATTTTTATATATTTATGTTTGTTTTGTTTATATATATATATATATATATATATACACACTGTATATATATATGAAATGTTCTATATTGATATATGAAATAAGATTCAATTATTGATATATGGAATTAGGTAAATAGGTATGTTTATGCATCCATTTAAGTTATTGCACCATCCACCCTCAGAGTGCAACATGATGCTTACTAAGAGAAGTAGAGGGAGATCAAGACTCACATTGGCGTGTTTTTTTCATGCCTCAAAACCCATTACCATGGCAACTTTGGCAGTGGCAGTAGAATGTGCATTTTGTAACAGGAGGGGTTATTATTAAAGTGTTGCATATCTGTCTCTGTTGCGTGGGAGGAATGTGTCATGTAAAACCTGATCTGAGATCTGTTAGTCTATCAGTCAGGTTTGCTGCTGACCACTGTTATAAAGAGTTGTTAAAGCCTCCTCTATTGAGAGAACTCATGCACAATACAGAAAGTGCCTTAATTGTTTTGTTCAAACATCCACCTTCAGAGTGTTTGTTTGCAGAGTTGGGTTATGGTTTTTGAAAGCGTATTTTGTGAAAAGTGAGTCAAGCACTAAACAGACAGAAACAGCCTAAACTCTGAGCCATAGCGTTGGAGGATTTTTGTGTTCACAGCATGCCAGCCTGAAAAGAAGCCACTCAATTGATTTGGGCTTCAGGGTTTGTTTAGAAACATGCAAATATAAATGGCGAAAGTGAATGTTTGAAAAGGCATTGTTGTATGTCATTGCTGTGTTTGTATATCTGGATGTCTGTAGGTGCATTTGAATTAGTGTGAAGTCAGAATAATACTGGATGAAACAAACTGAATTGCAATTTTTTATACACTTGTCAATATTTGCAATGACTACAACCACTTTACAAAAAAAGGAACAATATATTATGATAGCCCTATCTCTAGTTAAATCTACCTTAAAACTATGCATAAATCAGTCATCTAACATCCTCTCTCTCCTTCATTTTTCCATTGTCTGGCCAAGAGGGGCATTATGTCTTCCTCTCCCAACAGAGCTCAAGCACATCTGTAACTGAGAACATGTGCAATGAAGAGAGAGATGAGAAATGACTCCCTTGACTAGAGAGAGGCAGGGTGAAAGAGGAGGGAAGTGTTTTTCTGAGAATAAACTAGTGAGAATCAAGCGGGAGTGTGAGTTGAATGTAAATCTCCCGAGACCTGCTTGCATGAACAGCTTCCAGGCACAGGGCCTATTGAGATACAGATAGCTATTATTGAGTCATTCTTACTGCTGTAAATCAAACCATTGACAAAATGCCAGTCTGCTGGTGATCTCCATTGAAAATTGACATCATTCAGATGTTGGTAATTATATGACTTAATGTGGTTTTCCAGTGTGGCTGCTACATGCTCAGAAAGGGCACCAATCCTTTTGATAGATAGCTAATCTCCAGTACCGGATAAAGATTACATAAGAAGTGCCTGTTTGGATGAACTGACTGACTGCTGCCATATTAGGGTGGAAGGTGTGACCAAAATCATATTTCATAGTATGAGTATTTTTAATACCATTTCATATTGATCACAGTAATAGTATGTATCAAAAAATATGCATGCAGACAGTTTAATGAAAATTTTTTTATATTTTAACAACAGTGTGACAAAGCCTATTTTTAAAGTAAGAATGAAATACTTTGCAAATTAAATGTACTGTAGAGTTAATATTACTGGCTGTGACCTATATTAATGGCTAACTTTTCTGAGGTAAAATCTAATATTATGTAAAAATTATCTCTGATACTTAAAAAATTTCAGCTGATGTTTTTTTTCCCTCTAATTTACAGCAGACACATTCAAATGTACAAAACAAATGTATAATAATTTATCCAATTAATGTATCCAATTTATATTAATAATTATTTGTAAGCAGATGGTACACATTCATTTAACTCTGACCCCAAGCTGGCCATTCCCACAATTGAATGTATCTATATCAGAGTGGGTAACAGGCACTCAGCATTAACTCTCATTGTTTTCCTCAGACTGCTTGACCCCAAGGTCAGCAATACTAATCTACAGCATTCAAACAGCCCTCTGTACAAAAGGTCCACTGATGCTACTAACATCTATGGCTTTGTCATGGAAATGGTGATAAATTGGCTGGTGCAGTTGAGGGAAGTGCACTTTAGTGATTTTTCATGAGTGGTATGTCTCTTTGGTGAGCTGACTCCCTCAGGGGTTTTCATTTTCTCAATCTAGCTCTCTGTCCGACTTTAGAATGATATGTGTCAGTGAACACTCCCTTTGAACCAGAAAGGTTTCGGGTTTTGCTTCACTAATATTGGCCCTGTTGGTAGCACTTCAAAATAGGCCCAGTTGCAAAACTAATAAATAATAAAGGAAACCTAGAAGTTTGGGGAGACACATTGGTCAGTGATAAGAAATACAATGTTTTATGTTTAATTTCGATGTTATCTGTAACTTTTAAGGAGATATGTTTTAATACGCCGTTATATTCACGCTATTCATGAAGCCAGCTGATATTTGTGATGTTTATCACTGAGCATCTATGGTAGAAGGTGGTCCCATCGGCGAGGCCAACCACATGATTCTGCACATGAAGGGGATTCTCTATGCAATTCAAAATGCCCAAGCTCCTTAGGAGGCTTGCCAGTTGGCGAAGCACCAGTCCCAACTAGACTGTTCCGTTCTTTTACTGCATAATCATAGTTTTCACTGTCAGGTTTACAGGGGATCAACCCATCTGCAGCCCAATCCTTGTGCAATCCTAGAGGAATTGCAAGCTTTGTTGGCCAGACGCTGTTGCAGCCCTTCTTGTCATCATGTAAGATGCAAATCACTGCTAGTGCCATGGTATGCAATTAGGCTAAGAACCAGAAACCTAAAGATATTAGTCAGTGAGTAGGCTATCACATTAGACTTGCTTTTTATAGCCTAATTGAATCTCACGCCTGTCTTAAATGCTGGTATTTATGTTTGTTTCTGTTGCTCAAAAGGAGACGGTTAGGCAAATGGTATCTGGTTTAATTTGAGAGATTCCTGTGGATGATTTGTACAGTATTAGTTTCTCCTCTCATCAACAGCTGGATATGTTAAGTAAATAAATGAATAACTGTGGCCAAAACAGGGAGTGTCACAGCCTGCCTGCATTCAGTGGTCCCCAAGCACTGCCACGCTATCCTGGATGTCTGGGCTGATCAGTGACCAGCTAACCCAGCACTAATCGGAGCAGACAGCCTACAGTGAGAGATGCACGCTTATATTTTTAGGCCTTCTTATTCTCTTATTCCTATTTGCCTCTCGCACACTAAGCGAGCCGAGCGGAGGAGAGGAAGGGATTACTGCAGTGTGGATTCTGAGCTCTGTATTCTTCTTGTAAAATGTTTCAAGAAATTTTGAAAAACTCCATTGTTACCTTCATTCTGGGAAACATCTTGAGATATTTTTAGCAGTTTCTTGGAATTATTGGCCCTGCCCCACAGATTTCACATAAAGTTATCTTGCAATTCCTCTCTCTGTCAGGCAAGAGAAGAGAGTAAAGCAGCAACAGCAGAGAAAGGTTGAATCACCATAATGCTCATTATAACAGAAACATTGGTTAAAGGAAGTGGTTGTTGTCAGAATCCTATAAAACTGCATTCACAAGTAAAACACATGGAAACAACAAACCTCAGAGCAGCTCTTACCAGAAATTACTGGTTCTTGTTCAGTTCAGAACAACATTCATACAGGGCAGACATTGTAGTCCGATTTGCAAAATAGTTATGACTTCATTCTTTGTCATAAACCGTAAATTCCTTACAATTAATTTATCCGTATTCACTATACAGTACCTGTAAATTTTTATTAAAGTCTTTTTATAAATCCCTGTTGTCTAGGATCCCGGAGACAGCCATGGGTACAGCTTCAGAGGAGAGCCATCCGACCACCCCTAAACACCACCCAAATCACCCTCTCTGCAATGCTCACCTCTTCCCGCAGTCAGTATGAGCTTGGGGGCTTTCCTTACCCCCTTGCCTTGGAGAACAACTCAACAGGTGAGTTTATCCGAACACCTTCCATGGAGTTTACTCATGGATCTAGAATTACTATTTTCCCCTTCATTTTAATAATTCATCATTGCATAGAATACTGCAGTAAACAGGGGCTTGCAAAAGTGGCCTCATGGAGTTTAATGCATTTTTTGCCATTACTGTCTGCCTTGATTCAGGAATCAATAGTAGCTGGGTGGAGCTAACTGCTCTAGCTGCAATGTGTACTCAGCTCACTGGGACCAACGGCACTGAGGTCCAGGTGTCAGAACCCATCCACATCTCTATCCCCCTTCCTTCTGATTCACCTCTCAAGACTGCCACCAGTGTCCCAGTATGGAGGTTCGAGGACAAGACAGGTAAACCGCATTTGACAAAATTTTGGTTAAGCCTAAATAACAGTATGCAAATAGACAATTGTATCCAAAGTTACTCCTTACAGGGCTCAAACTAGAAACATCATCAGTCTTATCAGGAGGGTGTTCATGAACACCCATTTTGATGACACCATGTTATGTTCACCCTTTTGCTGATTCAGATTCTATAGTAGTCTAGTACCGAATAGTTCAGGGGTGTCCAATCCTGCTCCCAGAGGGCCACTATCTTGACGAGTTTTTTTCTTAATTAAACACCTGAACCAGCTTATCAAGGTCTTCTGGAATACTAGAAACTTCCAGGCAAGTGTGTTAGGGCAGGTTGGAGCTAAACTCTGTAGGATGTTGGTCTTCCAGAAAAAGAACTGGACACCCCTGCGATAGTTCATGCAAAACTAAGTCACAATATGAGGACTTGGAGTAAAATGGCAAAGGGCGTAACTCGACATTTTGGAGAGGGGGTTATACTTGTAAATTGTTCAAAAGTGTAGGTGAAGTGAGTGTGCAGTACAAATCAAAGAAAGCTGTTAGGTCTTCTCACATTGGAGAGATAATAGCCTAACAATTCATAAAGCAGAAATAATCTCCAGACATTGACCCCATCACGACATAGCTCCCAAAACAGGATGTGATTTAGTGCCTGGCAAGCTTTGCAGAATTCCCTAGATCCTTCACTGATGCCAGCTTAATAAACAGAACAGCTCTGGTGGAAAAATCAATATGACTAAAAGAGGGTATCGGCTCACTTTTTAGCTTTACATTCAAGTCTTATTTTTCCGTAGATTACTCTTTATATAGTTGCACCACATCATCACAGGTTATCTAGTACATCTGTTAAATTTTTTCAGCTCTTCAACCAAATGTCTGGGCTGCTTATTAGGATCTCTCCTAAAGTGTGGTGGCTAAAGATTCATTTAGCCTCTCTTAGCTCCACAGAGAAATCTCAAATGATTTTAACCTAAGCAGTTTAGTCTATGGCAACCTAATCCCATCTCCTCGTTTTACCCACCCATTACAATATTGGTCAGGGAATGTAACCAGACTCCCTGGTTTGCTACGGTAAAGTTTTGACAGATGGCCATCAAAGGGCATTAGAAGTTGTTGTGTAGTTTATTTTACTAAGCAGTATCCTATTTCTGACATTTTTGATTTGATATATTTTGTTGACAGAGTATCGCCCCCTACAGGACTTAAAAAATGTTTGTTTGATGTAGTTCGGATATTGATACAGATTTAGTATTATTTCACAATGCTATATTAAAGTCATTTAATACATATGTATCATGTTTTAATAATTAGGTTATCATTTTAATCTTAATTATTATATCATATATTTTGATTTCTACAAACAAAAACCAACTCTTAAATATCATTTAGTCGTATACAGTTTGCACAGTCCTCTTTTAAACTAAGAGACAGGCATTTATTAGAATCATTTTGACATAAGTGATAAGGTAAGCAAGAGCTTGTTTTAGAGCCAAAGAAAGAAATATTTTAGAGGATATGGTAGCTTAGTACATGGAGCTGCTCAAACAGTGCCTACCAGTTACCAGGATGCCAAATCTAGCATCTAGATAGAGAATGCTAGATAGCTTTAGAGAAAGAAAACCCTGAATATTCAGTGTGTGTGGGTGGGTGGTCAGAGAGAACTGTGTTTCAGAGAATAGTTCGTTCTGGAGAACAGGGGCCTGTATTCCTGAGTGGTGGGTGAGTGTGTTTTTGACCATGTGATAGATGCACGTGGCCGAAAACTACAAAAGTCTGTATTGTCTCGGACTTTGCTCTGTAGACTGTAGAAACGTGGATGTGGAGAATGTGGCTGCATTCTCACAGCACAGCCAAGAGCCCTGAGTCACTCTCTGAGTCTCATTACTAACACAGCATAAATATATATGATGTCACCAACTACTCAGTCCCAGTCGTCTGTTTTATCTAAAGAGGGTGGGTCCTGAATACCCCAGAGTGTTCAGATTATGAAAACATTCATTGTGTCGCAGAAATTTGCCATGTGGCTACTAAGACCCTGTTTGCTTTGGAGACAGATCACAGACAAAACAGCCCATACAGAGAGAGCGGATGCTCGTGCACATGGTACTTGGAGGGGCTTACTATACTGGGAAAGCCCCCTGCTTTAGAGAGCAGGTCTCCCTGCTGAGCTTCTAAAGAGGGTGGGTCCTGAATACCCCAGTGTGTTCAGATTATGAAAACATTCATTGTGTCGCAGAAATTTGCCATGTGGCTACTAAGACCCTGTTTGCTTTGGAGACAGATCACAGACAAAACAGCCCATACAGAGAGAGCGGATGCTCATGCACATGGTACTTGGAGGGGCTTACTATACTGGGAAAACCCCCTGCTTTAGAGAGCAGGTCTCCCTGCTGAGCTGAACATATAGCACCTTCTAGTGTGCGTAATTACACATTGCATGCAGCTGCCTGGGTCGGTCTTGTGCAGTTTTGTGCTGTAGGTAGCTGGTACTTATGATGAAATGTGGTGAAATATGAAATTATAAATAGCAGTATTTAATTTAATTTAAAAACGTCAGATTCCAATAAAAATAGTTCAATGTTATTGCGGATTTTATATATAGTATAATATTTATTTATAGTAACAAGTTGATTTTGTATGCTCCAGTTGTGAAGTCCAGCACAGAGAGGGCATTTGGTCTTTAGTGGAGGGAGACATTTGAAATCGTATTTGTCAGAGTTCACCCTGTCAGAACATATTAACTCTCTGTGCTCTTTTGTTTGGCCTTAGGGCTTGTTGCAAAATTTGTGCCCCCTTACTGTCCTGCTTTGGTGCACCATATTACATTATCTGCGTGATTTTGAATATTGAATGGTAACCTAGACTGATCCTAGACCTAAAATTACTTTTTAATGAAGAAAAGCTATTGAATGTATGATTTGGCAGTTTGGGTCTAATCTGTCCCTGGCGCACTGCCCATTCACATTTAATTGAGTTTTCCTGTAAGCTGAAGCAAGATTTCATTGCATTTATCACTGTCTGCTCATTTTGTAATAAAGTCCTGGTTTGCTGCAGGTCTGTGGGTCAGAAGTGGTGCTGGATACATTAAAAAAGAGGGCACTCAGATGACATGGAGTTTTGTGGCTCCAAATTTAGGATACTGGCTTGCAGCATTTCCCTCAACCTCAGGTGAGACCAGCAGCAGTTACAGCAGTTGAAGTATTTACATTTTCCTTGATCAGTAACCATTCAATTACACCGAATGACTTTAAAGAATCAATTAATTTAAAAATGTTGTTTAATATCTATATTCATCTTTGTATAACATTACTTTATTTTAATCTGCCTGGTTTAATTTTGGTTTACTTTTTTAATGCTTAAGAGATGGGTAGATAAAACAAAAATACTTATTTTTGTGTTAAAGGAGCAGGCCTGAACACCTCTGGTCTAAGGGACATCACTACCTATCACACTATTTTCCTGCTAGCGATTCTGGGTGCCATGGCCCTGCTAGTGCTTATTCTGCTGTGTTTGCTACTGTACTACTGCAGGTATCGTTGCACTGTGTGTACGTTTGTTGTGTGCCTGAAAAAGCGATTAATAGCTTATCCTTGTAGGCTTGGCCTTAGCAAGTTGTAAAACCCATGTCATAGCAAGACATGGGCATGAGCTTAAGATCACTTCCATGAGCAAAATGAGCAATTCAATAAACTATATTTTAATTTGTCATTATTTTGGTGAAACTGTAGTAGGTAGCTATGTTAACAAGAGTAATAAATGTTTTCTTTATCTTTATATGTATATTTGGTATAAATATCTAACAGATATTATTATAATATTTCAGGAGGCGGTGTCTAAAACCTAGGCAGCATCGCCGTAAAATGTACCTCTCATCCACTCTGGAAAGCTCAAAGAGAGACCAGGGGACATCCACTTCCCACCTAAATCTCATCAGCGGTGGACACATGGAGACAGCGTCCTCGGCCGCCGACCATGACGGCATCAAATCTGACCTTTCCTCCAACCGTGATCTCCACAGCTCTCGAGAGGACTTCTTCAGACATGGCCCCATCCAGAGACAGCACAACTCCTGGTTGAACGCTGACACAAAGCAAGGAGAGAGCTTCCCATTGAAGACCACTCGCTCTTCAAACACAGGAACTCAAGACCCACTCCTGCAGGATGACTATAGCAAAGGTTACAGCTCTGCGGAGGACTCTGATGAGCGCAGATACCATCATCACAATGCTAAAGACAACCAGGGCTATTCATCAGACCCACCGTCTCCACCTCCACTTTTGCCACCATTTACTGGCCACTATCAGGATCACAGTCGGGACAGCAAGCCCCCAGAGTATTATGCATCGGCAGGGGATCACCTCAGTCGGCCCAGTTCCATTAACACCCAGCCTGGCCAGCTGATCTTCTGTCACTCCATGGAGCAGATGAAGGAGAGCATGTACCACAGCATGGTGCCCACGCTGGTCATCCCTGCACATTATATGCATCTGTCCTCTGACCTATCAGCTGTGGAGCAGGCAATGGAAAGGCAGCAACAGCTGCAGCATGATATGGAGGGCATCCAGGTTAGCATGATGCTGCCACGGCAACAGAGTCAACACCAAAAGCAACAACAACAACAGCAGCAGGCCAGACAAGAAAAGGAAGAGGAAGAGTCTAGCCAGAAAGCAGAGGGACCTTCAGAGGAGAACTGGGGATCGGAACAATCCACTGCCCCCGTCCGTATTCCTGTCCTTTTCAATGACTCCACCATTGCGCAAATGAATGGAGAGCTGCAAGCGATGACAGAGAAGAAGCTGCTGGAGCTTGGAGTAAAGCCACACCCTCGTGCCTGGTTCGTTTCCCTTGACGGCCGTTCAAACTCTCTTGTTAGACACTCCTACATTGAGCTAAGCAATGAAGCCTTGCGTGCACCCGTGGGCCCCAGCAGTCTAGCCCAAGACCACCGTTCTGAAGCACTCCCCATGAGTTCAGGGAGATCTACTCACCGGAAAGTAAAAGAGGAGGGCAAAGCGAAGGAGGGAGGTGAAAGAAAAGCTCATGGAAAGATTTATTCCAAGCTTCCCGTTATCGAAACGCCAGACTCGAGTAGCGAGAGCCATCCAACCATGTACTCACCTGAGGAGAACTCCACAGTGCCACTGCTTGACAAGACCTCTGAATCCAGAGGAGGGACGTTCCCTCGTAAAGGCCGCAGTCGGGACAACAGCACCCGCAGTAGTGCCAGTGAGGTCCACAGAGACTCTGTCACCAGTCCTGATGAAGACAATGAAGCTGACGACAAAGATGACGATGGAGAGAATAAGAAGAGCCCCTGGCAAAAGCGTGAAGAGAGGCCCCTCATGGTGTTCAATGTCAAGTAACTCACATGCTGTGCAGGACTGGTTATGGCAAGATCTTGGCTATACCTTAGATGCTTACTAGTGATGAAGAAGGAGCGTTGGAAAAGAGTCAGATGAAAAGCGCAATAAGAAACATGGCACTTACCTGAGTGATAGGCATCTGTTCCAACCATCAAGACTAGGTACCAAGAATTAGCGCTGAATGCCGCTTGTAAAGAAGCAACTAAAGTCCTCACACCCTTTTAGATGTCCTTCAGATGGTTTAAACATCTGATGTAGTTCTGGCAGCAGTTCATAAGGCCATAACTTTGAATCTGCACTCTTCTCAAGCTGTTGTCTCGCTTTCCTTAAGTGATACCCATTTTTTGTAAGAATGACCATGAGCCATTTTAAACTTTAGACTTTGGGAAGCAATCCATAAGCCTTAAAGAGTTTTTCCTTTTCAAAAGAAATATAAATGAAAATTAATATTAATGTGATATAGGTGAAAAAGAGGGCTTGAACGATTTTATCAGTCTAGAATGACTTTTATTGTAGTGGTTTACTCAAATGTTTCATTTGTTTATATTACTATGTAGAGCTGAACCATTAAGGTGTGTGGAAATCGAACATTTCACAAACAGAAGTGAAATGTTTGCTGAATGAATTTGTGTGTTTACTCCAGTGTGACTTATCAAATCGTGGTTGACACATAATGACACTGTATTTTGTACTGTTGGTAAAAGTTCCCCTTTTGTACTTATCTAAAACCAGTGTTGCCATTTTTTTTATATATATCTTTAAGGAGACTGTTTGGGTTAGGAAAGCTGCTCTTTGATATGAATAAAAGGTTCTGCTTATATACTGTACAGAACTCATTTTGTACTTTTAATAAGCCTTTCCTGTTGGTTCAGTGCAGCAATAGGAATTGTGTTTTGAGGGACTTACCTTGGACACCTGTGAAAATGTTTCCGCGCTAATCTTTGCTGCAGTGCATTGGAACATTTGCCATAAATCAGAACCACTGCAACTCTGCTCTGTTAACGTGGAAGTACAATTTTGAACCTTTTTCTTTTATGGACTTTTTGTGTGTGACTGATGAGACAGATTGTGCTTGAAATGGATGTGCATAGATGAATTTACACAAAAATATTGTACCAAGTATTTTTTTTTAAACAAGTATTGCTTGATTAAGCACTCTTACTAAACTCTGTGAACCACTTATTTGTAAATAACACCTTAGTAAATTTACTCTCACTTCAGTCTTATGCATTTTATTTCTGACTACTAGTCACCATCGTCCTCTGGTTATCAGCCAAATTGTTCATAACACACTGTACCTGTTATTTTCATTCAGTAGTTGACATTTTATTGTAATACTGACTTTGAGCCTTACCCTCGTAACATGTGAAGCATTGGCACATTTCTATTGAATAGGCCTACATTATTCCTAAAATTCAAAGAGAATCTACCATGTACCAACAGTAGTCTCTAACTATTCCTCTACATATGAACTGCTGAATTTTCACAAGTGTCCTCAACTTCCTGGAAAGTGTATATATAGTTTTCCTTCAGTGATGTTCCTATCTCATTACAGAAGTTATGCTGAAAAATGTATTATATTATATTATTAAAAACATTCATATTATTTAGATTTGTCCATCACCACCTGTAAAGTTGATTTTTTTTTTTTACATAACAGTCTTTGGCAAGTATATTTGGAACAGTTTGCCTCGTAACATGTGAAGCATTGGCACATTTCTATTGAATAGGCCTACATTATTCCTAAAATTCAAAGAGAATCTACCATGTACCAACAGTAGTCTCTAACTATTCCTCTACATATGAACTGCTGAATTTTCACAAGTGTCCTCAACTTCCTGGAAAGTGTATATATAGTTTTCCTTCAGTGATGTTCCTATCTCATTACAGAAGTTATGCTGAAAAATGTATTATATTATATTATTAAAAACATTCATATTATTTAGATTTGTCCATCACCACCTGTAAAGTTGATTTTTTTTTACATAGTCTTTGGCAAGTATATTTGGAACAGTTTGCGGTGCATCCCTATCCTTATTTTTGGTTTTACTTACCATAAACTAAATAAATATTTTTATGTAATATTGTGTGTCTACTGTCTACACATGACTAAGCATTTGTCCTCTGGGTGTGGGCTATGGGCAGTCACTAGGTGGCACAAGGTTACAAGGATTTGTCCTTTTTAAATTCACTGTAATGTCCTTCGATGGGTTCCCATAATTTTAGGAACATTGCTTTTTACACCGTTGACGTTTACTAAAGTAATCCACGCCTAGTTCAAATTAATTTCATTGCCACAAACACAGTAACTACTCAGGTTCTGGCGGGCACGTGGTCGGTGGCGCGCCTAAGTATCCTCGAGCGCGCATCAAGCTTGACAGCATAATGCGCGCCCCCGTGTTCCCCCGGATGCGTGTTTACTCAGTCTCCTCTCTCCACCCTTGAAATGAGAGAGGTACGGAGTGGAAGGGACATCGTTTTACAAGAAAACCTCCACGAACGGACATCCAAGATCAAGACCGGCCGACAGACGAGGGCGAAGCGCGAAGAGTCCAGGTGTAGCGCGTGGAAAAATTGATTCGACACCAAGGTCAATTATCTTTCTATTAAAAAAAACTTAAGACACGGAGAAATCACGAACCTCTGAGGATGGAGCAGGTATACGGGGCTGGCAAGGCTGGCGGCACCTTCGATCCAATTACGTTCTTTCAGCAGCCGCAGATTATTCTTCGAATATTGTCATGGGTGAGAGGAATTCTGCTAATTGCATAATTTAAGCGCGAGCCCGAGCGTCATGTGATGACGCGCGTTAACGGCGAGTAACGCTTTGCCGCCTAAATGCACAATCTCCCGCTAATCTGTGCGTTCGCAATATATTGTTTGGGTTTTTATTTATTTTCTAGTTAAAGAGACATGTACATGAAAATATTGAGATAAAATCCTATCTTTAAGTATTGCAGCGTGTGCATCACATTTGAATTGTAAATATGAGACTAGAGCTGATATAGACTACATTTCTGGAATACTTGATTCTGATTGGTCAGTCGTGATATTCAGCATACAAATATTGCTGTATAATGTCTGTTGTCCAGGTCAACACTGTCTAACTAGCTATAACAGACCACTCATCTTATGTTACCGAAATAGCATGTTCTGATAGTAATTCCAATTTAATGTAGCCTATCTATTCATTAAAAAAAAAGAAGCAACAACTCACACACCATTAATGGATCTTATATAAAGAATAAAGCATGCAGAGGTTTGGAAAGCAACCGCCAGGCTGTGACAGTAGCTTAAGAAGCTCAATATTCATAAAGGAACCTGGCAATGTCTACTGCCCTGTTACCTTTATGGGGGAGGTTTCTGTCTGTTAACTAGCTAAACAATGTTTAACACTTTGTTTCTTTGGTCATTTCCTCAATCTCGATTCAGTCAAGTGGCTCCTGGTTTTTTTTAAACATTTGGCCCTTGCATGAATGAGCATGCCTGCATTATTTGCTGATCAAATCGTTTCGTGGAGAGACACATGGTGAGGGGGTGGTGGGAGATTAGAAGAGGGTGGCTGATGTGGGGGGAAGGGTGGGCAGGTGTCTGAATCAGTGATTAAAGGGGGGCGGATGGGGGGGGAGGGGTGGGCAGGTGTCTGAATCGGTGATTAAGCCACAACTATGTAATAGGTGATCATTCAAGAATTGAAATGATTTATATATCACAATCGACACACAAGGATCTTGTAATATCATAAATGAGCACTGACTCAGGGTTCATTGCTCGTCTATAAAAGTTACATTCATTGCCAACAGAAATGAGCAAAATGCTAAAAGTCGTGGAAATGTTTATAAAACAATTCTCTGGTTATGCTCTATATGAAGGCTTAGAATGATTACATTTTTATACTATTATAGTATTTATCATTATGGCATAGATCATTTTGTCATGTCCTTTATTTGAGTTTTAGTTATTTTAATAATTAAACATATTTCAGTTTGCATTTTCAGTTAGTTGCCAAGGCAGCATTTCTCATTTTCATAAAGTTTAAGTTTTTATGTGATATTTATATTAAATTAATGAAGTTTAGAAAATTTAATTAGTAAAAAATAATTTTGCAGTAATCATGAACAACTGAAAAAGTCATGGAAATTCATTGGTTTTGGCTGTATTGGATAGCCAATATGACCCTTTCACAAAACCTTTCGTAAATCCTCGAAAGTTATTGTTTTTTTTTTGTTTTTGTTTTTTTTTGAGTGTCCTGAGTTCCACCACTTTGAGGCAGGATTTCCTCTTTGTCCATCCATTGGAGGATAGAGAGAGTGTTCGGGAAAACTGCATGCAGTTATTGTACTGTTGGACATCTTTTGGAATCCCATGATTTAAATCGAAACAATTATTGAGGTGACGATTCGGTTAAAAATTGATTCTTGGTTTTGATTCATGTAAGCTTCATTCTTAACGCTTATCCCGTTGCAAGCCTGCCCTGTGTGTTCTCTATAAACTGTCCGGGTGCTGCACAGTTCTCTGTTCCGACAAAATCTGTGCCTTCTCTGTTCCAACAAAATCGCGTTATTAACAAAAAAATTTAAATTAATGCTGTCAAATGATTAATTGCGATTAATCGCATCCAAAATTAAAGTTTTTGTTTGCATAATTTATGTGTGTACTGTGTATATTTATTAAATATATATAATTACAAATGCATACAGTATGTATTTTAAAAATATTTACATGTATTTATATTCATATAATTTATATTATATATAAATACATTTAATATGTAAACATAACATATTTTTCTTAAATGTATGCATGCAAGTGTGTGTATTTATATATACCTAATAAATATACACAGTACACACACATATATTATGTGAACAAAAACATTTATTTTGGATGCGACTAATCTTTTGACACCACTAGCTTAAATGTAAATATATATTTTTTAAATTTGTGAATCAATTCGAATCAGCAGAAGATAGAACTGTGATTAATAAGTGAACCAATTTTTCCACCACCCCTAAGTTCCTTTATATGCACAGAAATGCCAACCTTCACCTTTAAGAGGCAACCGACTGTTGATTTGCCCGCATGTGTGCAGTCTGCTGTGTGGAATCTTCAGGATGGACTGGAGGTGTATTCGTCTGATTCATACTCTGATTGGCTGAGTGAGTGCTGCTTCTGCGTTGGCATGACAACTATCTGGGACCTCAGGCTGGATACTAACAGGCTCACTATGAGGAAAATGAAAATGGATAAACAGTAAAAGGCATTAATGGGATTGCCTCTAGAATATTTCTGGATTTGAACCTTTCATGTATCCTCTCTTTGGCTCTTTCTATGAACTGCAACATTATTGTGAAGCAATCTCCTTAGTCATGTTTCAATTCTGGTATATACCATGATGGATAGTGTCTGATTCAGGCTTGGAGTCTTTCCTCATTTCTTGTTTGTAAATAGGGTCTCGCTTTAAAATTGATGATCTTTTGGATCTTTGACTTACGTAAGCAGTCTCTTTCCCACAGGAACCCCCACTGACACATATTTCACAGACAGAGTTTGATAACATGAGCGTTAAAAAACCTCTAAGCAAGAATCAGTAGTTCATTCATTTGTTTTCCCAAGCTGCCACACTGTATTCATCCAGCATCTAACTGCAGTCTGTTTCTCTGAAACACAGAATTGCCACATCATTTTCCAGCTCGTCTGTTGCAATTACTCTTATTTGTAAGAATATGAATTATGGTGAAAGGCCTGGCTGTTCTGTCCTTTACAATGAGCATGTGATGCTTTAAATATAGCAGGGTCATTTTACTGTAGTCCGTAATGGCACAGCTGAATACTGCTGCAGGGCGACGTACTCTCCATCTCTCTCCATATGTCCACCTTTTTTCCTGCACAGTCATTACGTCAAGAGGGAAAATATAGTTTGCAGAGCCTCTTTATCCCTCTAACAATATTATTATAGTTTGTGATTCATTTATTTCCTGGCAGGATTTTCCCTTGTCTGGTTGTGATATTCTGGCAATGGATCACTGTAAACTCCTGCATTGTGTCTCGTATCTAATCCACATTTATTATATCTTGCACTCTTATTAAGAAGCCTAATAGGTAAAATGGATATAAATAAATGTTCTAATGTAAAAAGAATACATTTTATAAAATAATACATTTAGAGTGATAATACAGAGAATCTTGAATCAGTTCATTAAAACGGACATCTCATATGTCCATTTTAATGAATTCACAGTATGTCAGAATATATATGTGACCCTGGACCGGAAAACCAGTCATAAGGGTCTTAGCGATGCATATTACTAATAAAATTTTAAGTTTTGATATATTTACGGTCAAAATATCTTCATGGAACATGATCTTTACTTAATATCCTAATGATTTTTGGCATAAAAGAAATATCGATAATTTTGACCCCTACAACTGTTCTACAAATATACCCGTGCTACTTATGACTGGTTTTGTGGTCCAGGGTCACATATGAGAATGTATATGTTGTAGTTTTTATCAGAGGTGCTATTAAAATATCTTTGACTTGAAGTATGCTATTTACCAATGTAGCAGAGCAGTTACAGTGCAGTTTAATTTAATTTTCCTGTTAAACCTATTGCTCTACATATGACTGATGTTTGTGAATATCCTAATCTTGTTTCTCCCATCATGGACGCATGATTTCTGAATGCTGTGAAGCAGTGGTCAGGTTGACTGTGTGGGGGAGCACTTCAGATGTATAGGTGGTCTTCATCTGTAGTCTTATGACTCAGTCTCTCTCTCCCTCTCTCGTGATCTCTCTTTCCCCGCATAGTGAACACAAGGTCAGGGAGATTAAAACCGAGGGATTGGAGGGGGAGGGGAGAGAGAGAGACAAAGCTCGGCAGGCATGTAACAGACTGAGAAAAATGACGAGGGGCACTATGTCTTTTTAGTGGTCAGGAAGACATCCTTTTAACAATAACTTACACCATCCAGACCATTAGTGATGTAGAATGGTTGCTCTTTTCCATGCAATTACAATAAATGGATGCAAAATTAAAACAAATGCACCATAAAAGAATCATAAAAATGGTCCATATGACCATTAAAGCCAAACATACCAAAATTGAAGTCTGTATTCACTCAATAATCAGATCAGCCTGAATTCATCAATGATTCATTCGGACTGAACCAAATGATTCCTTCAAAATATTGATTTGTTCATAACAGAATTCCCAGTTTTATAAATTGTTTTACAGTAATTGATGTTAGAGCATCACTGCTGAGCTGTAGATTCATTTTACTCTATAGTAGGTTTACTTTAACCTGTCATTGTCCTGCCCACTATCTAACATTACACAAGTGACCACTGTGCTTGGTGTAAAGAGCCCTGTTGAATAGCTGGACAGCTCTATTCCACTGTATTTCTCTTCCTTTCAAGGTGTTGATTGATTTATTGGTGGGTGAGCCATAGTTGCTGGCTCTAAAATGGTACAAGCACAAACCAGCCCCAGCTGATATGTCTAGATGATTGAAGAACCATAAATTACAATGAAGACCAATGAAAGCCAATAAAATATGACTCACTGACCTTGTGGGATGTGCTGAACTCTACAAAATATGACGTATATGTAATATTTAGGATAGGGTAGCACTTTATTAATCCACTATGGGAAGTAAATGCAGTACAATACAGAACAATAAACGTCAATACAAAATGGAGAATAAATGTTATTGTAATATTAATATCCAAGATGACACGCTGGTGAAAAGAGAAGAAATGTAAATGGGTGTATGAACTAATGTACAGTGGCGGCCAAAATTATTAGAACACTAGTATTTTCACCAACTAAAAATGGTTTTGGTCAGTTATTTCTATCTTTTGCTGTAGTGTGTCAGTAGGAAATATCAGTTTACATTTCCAAACATTCCTGCAAAGCTACAGTACTGTTAAAAGTTTTAGGCAATTGTGTAAAAATGCTGTAAAATGAGGATGCTGTCAACAATAATGTCATAAATAGGTTTTCTTTATCAGTTCACTTCTATTAACTAAATTAAATCAACATTTGGTGTGACCATCCTTTGCGTTTAAAGCAGCTTTTGCTCTAGGTGCACTTGCGCATAGTTTTTCAGCTAGCTTTGCAGGTAGGTTTCTTAAAGCATCTTGGAGACGTTGCCACAGTCTTCTGGATTGAGTCTGTCTCAGTTTGTTCTGTTCCCAGCAGGCACCGGACGTCTGTGTAACGTCAGGTTGACGTTGGACATGACGTCAGACAGACGTTGCATTTTGGTTGAAAATGAAAATCGGGTTGGCGTCCATATTTGACGTCTATTTGATGTTAACTTAACATTGGATTTTGTTTACACAACCTAAAAACAACAAAATATCAATGTCAGCTGACGTCGGTATTGGACATCAATTTAACATTGACATTAGACGTTGAATTTACATTTTGGTCACCTGACGTCGCAACCGAAATTTAACCAAATATCAACGTCTTATGACGTTTTGTGTCTGCTGGGTTTCTTCATGTCATTCCAGACAGGCTGGATGATGATCAGATCAGATCTCTGTGTGGAGCACTGGCTGTTGTCAGACTCCTTGTGCAAACAAAAATCTCACTGGATTATTACAATTAATGGCAAAATGAATGTTTGGAAATGTAAACTGATATTTATACTGACACTACAGCAAAAGATAGAAATAACTGACTTAAACCCATTTTTAGCTGGTGAAAATATTAGTGTTCTGATCATTTTGGCCACTTATATGTTAAATATAGAAAATGTGCAAGAATGGGTTTGTCAGTTTATGCTTTAATTTAAAGAGACTAGAGAAAACCTCATTGTCATATATAAACAACAGGAGACAACTAGGACAAGAAAAATATAAACAAGAAGACAACTGGGACAAGGAACTGTTTTGTACATTTTTTACCAAGAAACTAAAGTTTTACAAATTTCCACTGTTAAACATAAACATAAACAAAAAAGCGTTAAACATACATATCGCTCGTTTCAGACACATGTGCCTAAAACACTACAATCAGGTTGAAACGGAGCACGTAAAGCTCTGCTCCTGATGATCACAAGATCCAGATCCCACGTGCTGCCTGCTACAATGCTTGCTTTCATGCACTCATGGCCATGGGGCCTTGTGATCCAGACAAGGCAGGCAAAACACTTGACCACATACTTGAAATCACAGACTCAAGAGAGAAATATGTATTACAAAAAACTTGCTTGCCTTTGGCAACACTTTTTTTTATGGACAATCAGTAAGCAATGATACTGCTTTATGATCTCTTAACCTTACAATCATGTTTGCATTTACAGTGTTATTTGCTTTCATTTAAATGATTGGGTGGGCAAAATAAAAAACGAAAAGAAAAAGAAATGAAGATATGTTGAAGTCAGATGTTGATTAATTGTTCTTCTTTGGTGAATCAGACTACATTGGCCACGCTGTATGTTTTTGATTCACTAAAAAAGAACTGGGCTCATAAGAATCGTTTGTTCATGAATCGGCCTACACTGGTCGTGATGTATATGTTTTTGAATCACTGTAAAGAAGCGGTTCATAAGAGTCATTTATTTGTGAGTCAGACTACACTGGTCATATTTTTGATTCACTAAAAAGAATTGGTTTAAAAGAGTCAGTTGTTCATGAATTGGACTACATTGGGTGTACTTTTATGATTTTGATGAACTATAAAGACCAGCTCATAGTGTCATTAGTTCGTGAATCAGACTGTATCGTTTGCATAATGTTCTTTTTGAGTTCATCCTGCAAAAACAACTCAATAGAAAGACATTTCTTGCCATTAGTTTGAGGTACATAGTTCTTTAATTGCATGACAGTCAATACAGGCCTACGTTCACAATTCAGTTAGTTTTAGCTGCATCTAAAATGCAGTGCAGGAAACACTGTTAAGTGCTGAGGATTTGGAAGTAAATCCCATGGAATGGATTTAAATGTGATAAACAGAGATCAAAGTCCTATATTATACTATAGGGCTTGCTTTTACCTTAATTTATCCGTAAGTCGGCCGTGATGATATCTTGTTTATATGTGCTTAATAAGATTAAGATAAAGGTTTGAATGAGCCATTGAACCTGTCTTAGAGATTCCGTTTATTTAATTTGATGCCAAACCCCTTAACATTAGTTTTAAAATAAAGCTGATTCCCTGGATTAAATCATGGGTTTGTAGCTGATAATTAGGGAATAACTATGGGACAGTTTGCTGGTAGCCAAGAGCATTTTAACTTAATTGCATGAGTGGAGTAATGAAGTGTCTCTTTCTCACTCTCACACATTCAGACAAATTGTACAGATGCACAGGCCAGCTGTTAAAACCCTGGCCTTTGCCAAAAATTGCCTCCATCCTCTTGAAGATTGTCTATTCCTCTGGAGCCAAAAAGAGAACATGGGTTCATCTGAATCCAAAAAGGCACTTATTATTATGGAAGTGTCAAATCTACCCTAGCTTCCCTGTAGAAAACAAACCCAGTAACAACAAGCAAGAAAGTGAGATTAAAAACAGACACATGTTTAATGCCTTCTGTGGTGATAGATGACATCTGCACACAATATTTTTAGCAAGAACTTGCAGTTCAAAGAAACAATTTAATTTGGTGGCAGAAAATGCTTGTTTGTTTACTTGGAGAGCTTAAATCAGCACTACAGTGGACATAAATAATATTTTATCAACGTTAATTGGCTCTGTAGTGCTTTTGACTCGATGCTTAATGTTTTTTTAACCCTGGACTAAAGATGTGTTCACATTTACAGTTGTTCAGCAAATTTTTGCAGACAAAATCCAGACATTGCAAAGCTAAAGTTAAACAGTGTAAAAAAAAATGTGGCCCAAAAGTTTTTTTGAATTAAATTATGATTAAATTACTGATACTTCAGTATTTCAACTTAGAAAACAAGGCTTAAAAAAAAAAAGTTCCAGACAAAATCCAGACATTGCAAAGCTAAAGTTAAACAGTGTAAAAAAAAATGTGGCCCAAAGTTTTTTTGAATTAAATTATGATTAAATTACTGATACTTCAGTATTTCAACTTAGAAAACAAGGCTTAAAAAAAAAGTTATCTTTGTAGATATCTAGTTGACTGGCTTTTAAGTGCCTCAGACAAAACACTGGCTGTCTTTCAAAGATTTGATGCTACTAAACTGAACCTTTTCCAAATCCAGTGATTATAGTTCTTCCTCAAAAGCACTTGTATTAACCTGGTACCTTGCATTTCACCTCTTCTCCACCTCGTACTAATCTAGCTTACACATGGTATTGTATACTATGAATACTGTTGGCTCTTATTATGATGAATTGTTTGATATGTTTATCATTTCTAAGTTGCTTTGGATAAAAGTGTCTTGTAAAAGCATGTGTGTTAATAAATGTACAGGGAGAAACCCCAAAACCTGACTACCTAAGACTAAATGAAATGAAGTGTGATAAGTCCATATCACCTTCACACAAATTCTTCTTCCTTCATGTTCTTCTTCTTTTTATTCTCCTCCTCAGATCTTTTCCATTGTGATCTTTGGATGCATTGCTAACGAGGGCTATGTGAACCGTCCAGACGAGGTGGAGGAGTATTGCATCTTTAACCGCAACCAGAATGCCTGTAACTATGCCGTGGGTATGGGATCCCTGGCCTTCCTCTGCTGTGCCGCTTTTATGGCACTGGACGTCTACTTTCCTCAGATAAGCAGCGTTAAAGACCGCAAGAAGGCTGTGTTAGCTGATATTGGTGTTTCAGGTAAACTGCTGATATTACATGTCAGTATTTTTCTGTCACTAATTAACTGCAAGCCTCCAGCCACACTCTTTTGACACTCTTTTCACCATACTAAAAGTGTCTCTAGGAAGGTAATGTTTCCCATATACACTTGATTTTAAGGTGTTCTTGACTCAAAACGAACAGCTTAGACAGTGTTTCAGTACTGCCCCGCCCCTTGCTCCGTCTTTCAACAAAAGCTTTATGGGCGAATCCGGCAGGCACTGTACTCATGTTGTGGACGCTGTCCTCAGTAAAATGCGCAGCCCACAATAGCAAATTGGGGTTATAATGCTCAGGGACAGAGTTAAAAAATAAATTGCAACCACTGTTTCCTGACATCATCCGCTTTCACGGAGGTGAAAAAAACAGCGTTTCAGGCGGTCGCGTCGCGCACTGACTAAAATTTAAAAAGTGAAAAAGCATAATAGGACCCCTTTAAGCTACACTGCCCTCTATTGGTAAAATGTAACTTCAGCTAGACTTACTCCAGTGCTATGCTGAATTTGTGGTGCAATAGCACCATCTAGGCCCTGTAAATATGAATTGACCGTTTTATCAGATCACAAATATGCAAATATCACTCTATTTTCAGTTTATTTGTTTTCAACCAAAGGCATTTATTGTAATGATTTATTGATATGAAATCTGCACCTTCCCATTTTTCTCCCAGCCTTCTGGTCTTTCGTGTGGTTTGTGGGATTCTGTTTCCTGGCCAATCAGTGGCAGGTGGCTAAACCAGAAGATAACCCCCTCAAAGAGGGTGGAGACGCAGCCAGAGCAGCCATCACCTTCGCCTTCTTCTCCATATTTACTTGGGTCTGTACTGACTTAATTATATCTTATTCTTCTGTAATTTTTCATTTAAAGTTAATGTTTCCTACAAACTCTAATTGATCTGAATCATATTTAATTTGCGAGATTCAATGTCTACATTTTCTTCTCGGTCAGAATTTTCATTTTATTATATAGATGATGGCTGGGCCCCTTCCTCTTCCCAAGGCCTTTTATTAGACCAGATTACATTGGTGATGAACCAGTAATATTTGTATCACTTTTTATAGTTTTTATTAATATTTTTAATTAGCTTCTTTATATTTTCAATTTTCATTTAATTCTAGTTTGACTTCCAATAATTTTATGTGCTTTAGTCATTTTAATTTTTTTTAAACATATTGTACTTCTATATCACGTTAATAATTTTTTTTATTTCAGTTTTAATTTTAGTCATTTTAGTACTTAAACTTTTTTTAGTTAGTTGCCGAGGTAATATTTCAAATTTTCTTTGAAGTTTTTTCATCTAATAATTGCATTTTGAATGACCTGTGAACATCAACCACTGTGCATGACCTGTGCTTCTGATCCACATGGCTTCATTCACTAATCTTCTTTCTGTACTTTGCTCTCTAGCTTCTTTTCCAGAGAATTCACTTATTTACCCCAGTAATCTTTGCTTCGCTGTTTGCAGATTTCTTTCTAATTTCTAATTCCTTAAAGCATTTCTCTTACAGAAACCACCCAGCTGCATCGATAAGATGAACCCAGTGTTGTTGAAATGTCTTTCCCATCGTTCTTTCTGTTGATCGTTGGCTCTGGCTGATCTGTTTTTCTTTAGGGTGTTCTTACATTCTTGGCCCTGGAGCGCCTAAAGAAAGTCTCATTTGAAGAGGAATACAACAAACTGTTCACCCCTCATATGCCACATCCATTTGTCTAACATTTACCTTACACATACTTGTTTACTATGCCATAGACATCAACTACAGAAGCACCCCTCAAAAAATCTAACAGTCATGGAGACCAATGAAGATGTGATGTTTTTTTATATGATATGTGGTTTGTTTTTTGTTACAGTGCCATATAAAGCCCGGAACTTCCTTGTACGAACTGGGAAGAGTTTTAAATAACATGATACATATCTGCCTGGAATTATGAAATTATTACAATAGGATCTACAGTGAGATGATCTAATTTTCACCTTTAGGTCTATTCCAGCATTTATCATACAAGTAAAGACTAAGGTTAAAGGTACAGTACTTTTCAAAGGTTTGGGGTCAGTAAGATTTTTTGAAAGAAATTAATACTTTTATTCAGCAAGGATGCATTGAATTAACCAAACATGGAATTAAATTCAATTCAATTCAAGTTTATTTGTAAATTACGATTTACGTTTACAAATCATTGCAAAGCAACTTTACAGAAAATTTAGTTTCTACAATATTTAGTAGTAGCTTATCAGTGGTGGCTGTCAGTTAATGTACATATGGCAGAAATGTACGGAAAAATAAATTAAAGACGTAATCAAACAGACTATGAACACTCTTAACAGCAATTATTATATGATGCAATCAAACTGATAGCAAAATGTGGTAGTTCTGTATGTTGTTTCAGGGTTGGCATAATCTGAGGTCCTCTGAGGGGTTGGCATCATCTCTTCTCAGGTGTTCTGGATCCAGACTGAAGCTTGTGTAAATCCTAGTTACCACGGGATGTCAATGACTTCCTTCAAAAACATTAACAAATCTTACCAACCCCAAACTTTTTTTAATTGCAGTTACACTTTTAATTGAATAGGGGGCACCAGTTGCACATTAAAATGTTCAGCTGAGCTCTTTACAGAATTGTTTTGTAACATTATGCAAGATTGTCTACTCTTCAGGATTTGTGGCCTGATACTTTGAGGACATTACATGCTCATTCACCTCTGTTGTTATTATGGCATTTCATGAACTTATTTGAATACAGTTTGTTTACAGTTGAGCTGCTGTTATTGCTTAAAATCTTTAATGTATATTTATCCTATGTGATTGATCTTATAATGTATACTGGCAGATTTGTTTGATTAAATTGTCTTAAGTTTGTCTCAAGTTCTGGTTTTTGTTTTGTTTTGGATTTAGGTTTTCTAAGTGTATGTTTAAAGAGTTTGGTTTAAAAGGTTATAGCTAAATGTATTCGCGACTCAGTTTAGCTTAAAGCTGACTAACCATCTAAATCTTGTGTTTTAATCAAACTAATGCTTTTCTCTTTTTCTCTCTCTCTCGCTCTCTCTCTCTCTCTCTCTGGTCCATCCTGTCATTCTTGTTAATTCCTTTCATTTAATTCTTACCTGTTTCCCTAACTAATACCATTTCATTCACTATTCACCATCAAAACTGAAAATTCCTCCTCTCCTGTTGCCATAATCCTATAATTCTTATTGAAATTCCCCCTGATCCCACCCTCTAAACCTCTCCTCCTGGCATCTTCATTTTCCTAAAGGCTGGTCAAGCTTTTTTCGCATTCCAGAGGTACAAGTTAGGTGCGAGCTCGTCTCTCTTCTCTCAGGACTATACTGATCCCAGCCAGGATCCCGCAGGAGTGCCTGCTGCAGGCACGGAGTACGCTGGATACAGCGCTGACATGGAGGCTAATTATGACGGCTCTGGTGGATACCAGAACCAAGAATACTAAGGTCGAGTATAAGGCTGTACACAACAGACTTAACAAGCTAGGCTGACTGGGTTGCATGGGGAAAACAAATATTTGGGGTGAAAAGGACAAACAGGAACTTATTTTGGGGTAGAATATAGGGACCAAAGCAGGCTGACAGGAATTCAGGGGTTTGTTTTGTGCTAAAAGAACCCCTTGTGGAATTAACGTTTGGTGACAGTACATGATCAATGAGCGTTTCATTACGTCTATATTAAAATATGATATTTTGCAGTTTAGAGACTGTGGCAGAGGATCTCTAGAAAGTGTGTGTTTTTTGTTTTTTTTGCCTTGGGTTTTGGGCTTATGGGTTTGATAAGATTGATTGATCTACAGATGTGTGTCCATCCTGGTTTAGTACACTTTATCCAGATTTGTGAAAAGAAATCTAAACTAAACTAATGGAACTTTGTCTCTAAAACAGTCATAGGAACTAACTAGCTTAATATTGGCCATACAGTAATAGTGAGAAAACCTGACCAAACTAAATATTTCTAAAGACCACAGTGTCTTTTTGTTGGTAAAGTGTAGGCGCTTCAATTGAATATATCGTTAACCCTTAACCTGTCACTAGAACAGATACTGCATTGATAGCTCTCTTCTGCCATTTTGTCAATATCCAACGATCTTAAAAGATAATTTTTAACAATATCATGTTCGGGATTACATCAGTCTCTGCATTGTACCAAGAGAGAAACTGAATGGTATAGACTATAATGTAATACAGAGAGTGAAAAATATTGAGAAACAATTAAGGTACATTTTTTAGAGCTGCTGAACTGCACGTTTTTTTTTAAGTTGTGCGGCTATGATTGCATTATTTAAGGTATGTTTCTTTACAGAAAGGCGACATTTTATATGCACAGTGGTCCCAAACAGTATTTGGACTCTTAAGCAACATTTAAATAGCATATATGTCTGTCATTGCACAAAATATCAAACCAGTGTCATTTATTTTAAAGAAAGACATCACAAGCACACTTTTCAAGCAAAGCATTTCACACAAAGTAATTTGTTGGTTTATAAATTCTAAAACTATGGACCTATTGTAGCTAAGTCATCGCCAAATAAACAACATTTCGCGGGCAAAAGGCTCCAATGTCTATTGGCGATAGTTTAGCAATATACGAAGCAAATTTTCTGTTCGTGAACGGACAAATTCTCGTGACGAACTCGATGCGAAATCTAGGGGGGGGATATTTCGCCCTTGAGCCAAACTCCTGATCTCGCGGACCACACCTTTAATATGATGAACACCTGGGTGAAATTGGGCTACGTAAACTACAACCACCTCGGAGTCAGTTCATGCATTTTAAAGTGTGACTTAAGAGTCCACGTATGATTTAGGGCCGCTGTGCATGTCATTTTCATCATGGTAAACGTTTACATTTGTATCTAGACTAGACATAATGACCTTTGACGTTGTTATTAATAGGCTATCTTTTAATCACAGATGTAAACAATGTGGTGCAGTTTAGATGCTGAAAATACGTCAGTATTGTACGTTTTAGTGCCTGTAAAAACGTAAGTGAATGTACGTTTTATAGTACCACATTTTACGTAAAATACATACAAATTATCATGAGATCACGTTGGATGAACACCTGGGTGAAATTGGGCTACGTAAACTACAACCACCTCGGAGTCAGTTCATGCATTTTAAAGTGTGACTTAAGAGTCCACGTATGATTTAGGGCCGCTGTGCATGTCATTTTCATCATGGTAAACGTTTTTGTATCTAGACTAGACATAATGACCTTTGACGTTGTTATTAATAGGCTATCTTTTAATCACAAATGTAAACAATGTGGTGCAACACAAATGTGACTTAAGAGTCCACGTATGATTTAGGGCCGCTGTGCATGTCATTTTCATCATGGTAAACGTTTACATTTGTATCTAGACTAGACATAATGACCTTTGACGTTGTTATTAATAGGCTATCTTTTAATCACAGATGTAAACAATGTGGTGCAACACAACAATTCACTAGACTTTGAAACCGGTTTTTGAAAGGGGAAATGGCCAGGCTAACATTCGGCTGCATACTAATGCTTTATGCTTCGATCTAATGTGAACAAAAATGAGGCAGAGCCCCTGAGCATGAAAAATTAGCACATTGTCTAAATATGACAAATTAGTGCTAATGACTACAGAAGACAAACCCAGCCAATACCTCACGATTATGCTAGGAAGAACAGACTAATAGACTTCATTTCAATGCTAATGTGTCAAGTCTTTAGGGCAAATGGTCATGTCATTATAATGGTCTGTCACTTGTGGAAATATTTTTCATAATTATGTATGCTAATTAGTTCCTTTGTAGCACCCCTAGTATTGTCCTCTTGCAATCTTTTTTTGTCATTTACATTTTTTTGTTTGTTTGTTTTTTATCATAGTTACTGTAAAATCTCTTGCACTAGAGCAGCAGCGTTGTGCATTACAGATAAATTATTTTTTATTTTAAATTAAGTTTAAAATTAAAATAAAAAATTGTTCATAATTATGTACCTGAATATATAAAACCAGCATATTTTTTATTTAATGACAAAGATGTAATATAATCAAGTACACAAAATATCTTTATAAATTTATTACCAAAATAACTGTCAAAAATAATAATAATATTAATTGTGTATTTTGCATTTAAAGGTGTTGTAGAATAACATTTATCCTTTCTCTGTTTAGGAAGTGACATTGTTTTCTGAATCAAGAAACTTTTTTCTCTTATTTTATTTCTTGTTGAAACTCCTAAAAAAGGAAAGCTAAAATACAATCAATATATTATATAGGTATTGTATCAGATGTGTTCTTATATAATGTATATGTGCAGTTATGGAGCTGGGATAAGAAAATATTGTAAATTCTTTTGATGTGGTGACTGTCCATTAACTAAATCACTAGGTTAAAATGGCTCAGTGTATTTTGTCCTGTCTTTGTATGTTGCTTGTCTGGTAAGACGTCTGATATAGCTGAAAATAAAAGAAATTGACTGATGGACATAGCTGCTTATTCTGGTTTCTGTTCATAACTGGGTTTGTAAAAAAATATATATATTTTGAATTTGTTTATGTATATTTGTCTATTAATAGTATACATTATAATATTTTTTTTATTAATACACAAACTATATGATTTTTTAGGATGTTCATGAACAAATACAAAGAAAAAAAAACAATAAGTGTAATACTGCTTTAAATTGTTGTTTTTCCCAAAAAAATAAATAAAAAATCTGAATGTTTAATTTAATTGCAATTTTGTTTTTGTTTTTCTGAGCAAAAAATAAATATCATACATTTTCCCCTGATTTACAGAAGAGACCCACTAAAATGTAATTCAGTGTAACAATCTTGTCAGGCATATTTACAACAAAAATCAATTTATGACATATTAAAAAACTAATTACTTTCACCCTTAAATATTAATTAGTTGTAATTTTACATTTTGAAAATTATTTGCCACTATCCTAGGTTTTACCCATTTGTCAGTAAGAACTTTTTACTCATTTAAAACACAATCAAATTTAATATGCTCCCTTATTCTTTTATATATTTTAATATGTACACGTCAGAATAAGCATGTTGTTTGAATTTTTACATAAATATTGTGTTACACTGAATGACAATGTAACATTATTTCAACCAAATTTTGACATTTTATTCTCCAAAAAGTTATTTGAAACCTTAAAAGTATAGGCACTTTACTTATATTTAATGTGCTTTCTATGGACATAAAATCACTTTTGTACATTTCTTTTGATGCGGACATCTTAATGTCTTTGACCCATACACAAATTATGCAATTTATTAATTAAAATTTTGATTCTGTGAATGTTTTTATAAGGTAGTATGTAGTGTGTCTGAAAAGTATTTACACTACTTTTCAGGGACACCATATGCAGCATGGACATTTTGGTTTACCTATAGGCCTATACAACCTTATAAAAATGTCTAATTACTACTGTATACTACCATATAAAAATTCTAATTTCTTATTTATTTATTTATTGAACCATACATATAAAGGTAAATGTTACTTTGCTCATTTGTAATGCAATGAAATTCATTTATATATAAGTTTTGCTTAAGCATCCAAATGCTTTTTGTGGATAGTGTATGAACATGCATGACAGGAAACAAATTTAGTGCGCATGTCATAATCTACAGAACCAGCTTCATTACTGGAGTGATGTGACATTTCCTGGTTCTCATGCTTGTGTAACTCTACATGGTGCTACATTTCCATACTATAGTGTGCCGAGTGGCCACATTGCAGGAGAGGGACGGCACAAGGGTGAGATCAGTTCCTGTAATCGCCCAGTGTGTCACTGAGAGAGCAGTCAATGACAGACAGGGGACAGAATGTATGTGTAACATGAGAATATGACTGTCCACAACCTCTGTCCACACAGCACTATATTCATCTGATGAGTGAGAACAGCACCAGCGCTCACTTGGTCTGTCACTGAACACATGCTATGACTAATGCTTTTCCATATTGACTATATTTTATAGTGGTTGTTTGAGAAGAGAAAAAAAAGTTACGTATTGAAACGTTTTAAGTTATTGATCATTTGGTAGTTTCCTACAACTTTGCAACAACATATGTTTAATCTGCATACAGAAATAAATAAATACAGCAGCATATAGTAGAGTTTTTTTTTTTCTTTTATGTGATATTTAAACAATGTTTTTTTTAAGGGATTATATTTGCAAAAGAAGATTAGTACAGAACAATTGCTGTCACATGTTTATAATCTCCTGTCTGGTTACAGATCCGAACACTGTTTACTTTCCATTGAAAGCCTTTTGATGTCTGTTAATAGGCCCATGGAGGAACAAATGTCATGCTGATACAGTGTGATCAAGCATTTCAGCATCAGCAACAGAATCCATTCAGATAATAACTAAAGAAACATGTAGATAGATGGATAGATAGATAGATATGTTTGGAATGTGTCATGGAAATTTGAGTTGCTGGGGATTTCTTAGGTCTTATATGCGTGTTCCAGTGCTGTGCTACAGTGTGTCTGTGAATGTTTTGATATGTGGGTGTGTGAGTGTCAGGTGTCATTGTAGACAAAGTACGGAGTGATTCCATCAGACAGAAATAGCAGCAGAGCTCTATAAAAGTCTGACACACGCTCCGGCAGACAGACGACCAGACAGAGCAGGAGACAGACAGACGAGTCCTCCCTCAAATTCAAGAAAAAGAAAAGAGAAAAAAATCAAAGAAAATTACAAATCTTTAAAACAGTATTGTAAAAGAGTTAAGATCTTTGACTGACATTTAAGTTTTTAAGCCGCTCACAAACAGAAGTTGAAGATGCAGATGTGCACAGTCCTGGAGAAGAAAGGTGGATGTGTGGTTGGAGCCGAGCTCAGCTGCAGTGTGAGGGAGGAAAATCCAAATATGAAAGAGAGTTACACCGCTAACTGGCGCAGCATCAATATGAAGACTCAACCTGAGGATCGGTGAGTGCATAGACATTCACATACAGTATATACAACTAGATGGAAGCTATTTATTTATTTAGAATTTACTGAATGTCAAGGATCTCTGTTAAAGCATTCTAAATCTTTTAAAACAGATTTAATTATGATTTCTTTTTTTATAAAAAATAATATTAAAAAACATCGCTTAATTAATATTTTTTGTCAGGATTTTAAATAGTCAATTTACCTGAGCAGCAAAATTGCAAAAAAAAATAAATAAGACTTATTTTCAGATAACATATTGAATTACACTGGGAAATATTTTTTTCTTGTTTAAAACATAAACTTCACAAGTTTAGGTTTTAAACATTTGCCAGTGACATATATTCTCTAAAAACAAATCTTAATATCTTTGTATCTTATGCAGTTCAGTTTATCTGGATTTAAGCATCTGTAGATATTTTTAATGAAAAAATACTTTATTATAATTAATATTTATTATTATAATAGAATTAAGGTTTTGCATTGCAGCTTGCATAAAATAAGGTTAAACACACAATTAATGTTAAAACTTTCATTCATAATTCTCCATTTTTCTCCCTCTCCAGCCAATCGATGCTGATGTCAGACGACTCTCGCCGGGAGTCCCTGTCCCGTTACTGGCAGGCACGTCCTCTCAATCAGGCCTGCCCATCG